ACAGCAACTCAACACAGCCCCGCTGCATCTTCCTCCTACTCTACCATACCAGTCATTTCCCAGCCGGTCACTGACTGATGACAAGTGTACTACCTGGATCCACCTAGTGCAGATTCTTGATGAATGTTTGACCAAGGATCTTCTAAGCAAGTCTTGGTTGAATCTTCATTCTTCTGGTATTTTTTTGTTCTTTTGAAATCTATATATGCCGATTAAGTGAATGTTAAATATAACTTCCGCATTAAATTTATTTGAAAGCTCAACCTTCCCTTCAAAAATCTTTATTCGGTATCTACGTCGAGGAGTGGTTTTAACAAATAGGACAGGCAAAAATTAGAATGGTTGTAAGATAATGCAGGTTCTGCGATCAAGATGGAAATACTATGCATTTGTTTTTATCTTCAATTTTCACACTTCTACGTTGGACTATGTAAAATCGCCGCATGACATTATCCAAACCAATGCATATGTAGAGCTGAACAGGCATCTCAGATGGACCACCGAGTCAAGAAACTATGGATGGGTAGGAAAACAGTAGACAGACGGACGGACAGTTCTCAGATGCATACACCACACAACACAAACACACGACACAGAGCTCATAGCAAGAACAGGTCCAGATTAATTCCAACGAATTCGCAGGCAGAAACCCACCTGGGCTAGCTAGCCCTGACTAAATACCAGAATAACAAGGAGGGTAAACCATAAAACGAATTATGGCAATAGGAAAAGGAATCAACAATTCAAGAAACTACGGGTGGGGGTAGGAAAACAGTAAACAGGGAAACAGGACTCGGATGCATACACTACACATCAAACACACACAAACGCAGAGCTCACATAAAGAGCGGATGCAGATTAATTCCAACGAATTCAGACATAAATCTACCTGGGCTAATAGCTAGCCCTGACTGAATACCAGAACAACAGGGAACGTCAACCATAAACCAAAGGATAGCATAGGAAAAGGAACTGTGAATCAAGAACCGAACCTTGCCTGATCTGGTTTCCTTCTTTTGTATACATGCATGTATAAGTTTTCGCCGCAAACAAGCGCCAATTTGGGGTAAATGTTCATCCATCAGGAAACAGAAAAAACTATCTCTCAGACTATATGTAAACCCCTCCTCTACTTCCACTTATCTTGCGATGAACAAAGCTGTAGGAACTTGCTAAGAGCTGACCGTGGAAACCATTTCGTATTCGCTCGATGGCTTCCGTCTCTTGGAGCAGACGAAGAAGGCGCCCCCAAGCCACTGCTGAAAGAAGAGAAGCGTGGCCAGCAGGACCACCCCACAAGGTATGACGATGTCCCACGCGAGGCTGAAGAGGTCGTCGCGAGAGCTCGCGTAGATGTAGGATGGCCTCATGCTGCGCACAAAGTGATGGGTCCTGTATGCATCGTATGCATGAGGCAGCGCACGCAGCATGGTGCCCCCGATGTAAAACACTGGGGAAAGCGCTCTGACTTTAGAGGCTGAGAACACATTCAGGATGACCTGGGGGAGCAGGAACCCATCGAGCAATAAGCCCCCATAAGGGACAATGTCCTCCCAGAATGTATGTCGTGACGGCATGAGGCGAGCAACTTGCCTCAACATCCTTCTGCTGTGGTTGGTTCTCATGTGGACAATCGCTGTTATAACTCCACCTATGATGTACAGCGGCAAGCACACCCAGAGCACTTTCCTCTCTGCAGCCCATGCCTCGTGTTTGCTTCCATCCACAGAAGACCGTGCAGACCATGCCAACTGAAGAAGGCGCAGCTGCAGCAGAAACGTCGCCATTGTGATGATTCGCACCATGACCTCATTCACCTCAAGCCAACCACCACCGGAGAAGGGAACAGTCTGTTTGTTGCTGTGCTTGAAAAGAGCCTCAAAGTTGAGCACGAGAGGGGTCATGTAACCCAGAGCGAGCACAACAAGCATAGTGATTGACATAGCAGGGAGCGCTTCAGGGACCTTCTTGACATGGAACAGCTGCACAGCAATGAAGGCACACGACAGAGTCATTGAGATGAGGGCCATGGTGCTTTCCAAGTCCATTCTCCATATTGATTCTTCCACTTGGCCTATGTACATCCCATATGAGTCAATGTCCAGCGTTTCAAAGAAAAGAGGGTCGGTCTTGCCCCTCAAGCTTATAATTTTCCCCTGGACATGTTTTGCTGCTTTCGCGTCCAGACTAGCAAAGTGAGCAGTTATCAAAATCTTACAGTCTGAGGAGGAGACATTAACCCGTCGACATGCGATCAGGCACAAGGAGCCTGTCTCGGTGTCATAAACACCTTCCGCCGAGATCTGTTGCGGTTGAAATGTTGCTAGTGACCAATGCCCAACATATCGGATATTGTAGCTGACATTAAGTAGTCTCTGCTTCGTCTCCAGCACTGCAGGGCGAGTGGAAAGGTTTGAGAGCACAAAAGAGCTCCCATCAGACAACATGGTCCCAATTGTGATCGGCGATGCGTACCCAGAACCACCCCGTTTCTGCAAGTTGAACCGGAACGCCAAGTCTAGATACGAATTTCTATCTGGGAACTTGCCCTTCCTCTTCTTGTTCAGGCCATACTGCTTGTAATACTTGGTTGCCTCCTCAACCTTGGTGTAGTTGTACTTCAAACCCCCAAAGTTACCCCTAACCGCAGTTGAATATCCGGCAATGCCCTGGTCGCTTTTCAGGCTGGTGTTCCAGACCAACCCTGCAGAAAAGCTCCGTTCCTGGATCGACCACACTCCCGGGAACCAGAAGGTCATCCCAATCCCGCACTCACTGACAGTCAATTCCGCACGGGATGATCCTGAGTTTACCACATGGCATCCTTTGAGGCATAGCCTGTTCGAATTCTGATCCCAGAAGCCCTCTGCCACAATCGCCTTCTCGGTGACCATGAAGTAATACCTGGAATAATCTGACATGTTGGAGAAGGCCACATAGACACGCACGGCGCCGTCGGCCGCGCAGTGCACCCTGTTGACGAACATGTGCGTCTGGTTAATCCCCAGCGAGGAGGCGGCCGACTGGCCGCCGTTGCCGTAGTCCAGCCTAAACCCCGGCTTGAGCAGCGACCTGAGGCCGGGGCACGTGAAGTTCCTCCCGCCGAACAGCTGGCGGACGTCGCGGCCGTCGGCGGGCGGGCGAGGGCAGGACGCGCTCTCGGCGTAGGCGTACCCCTCCTCCGCGTAGGCGAGGAGCGAGACGGGCTCGAACGCCACGCCGGGGCCGGGGCCGGTGCTCTCGAGGCGGCCGGTGACGAAGGGGCTGGAGAGGTTGGCGGGGCGGGGGAAGCGCAGGCGGAGCACGGCGGCGAGGAGCGCGACGGGGCGGCCGTCGGCGGCGCGGCCGGAGCCCGAGCCGACCATGCAGAGGTCCCCGGAGGCGGAGGAGTAGTAGCCGTGGAGGTCGAAGACGAGGGAGCCGCGGCGGCCGACGAAGCGCGGGAGGCGCGGGCGGAGGCGGTGCTGCTGGCCGTCGTAGTCGAAGAGGCGGCGGTTGCGGCCCGAGGGCCAGATGCCGTTGCGGTTACGGCCGGCGCCGGAGAAGGAGAGCGTGGCGGCGACGCGGAGGACGGAGGCGTCGGCGGTGGGGAGGACGGAGGTGGGGAGCAGCGCGAAGGAGCGCGGGAGGCGGGCGCCGTTGTCCGGGCCGAAGAGGAGGTCCCCGCCGCCGGAGAAGTAGCCGGTGGAGAGCTGGAGCGCGGGGGCGGGGGCGGCGGAGGCGGGGCCCGCGCCCGCGGGGAGGTCCGGCACGGCGGGCGGGGCCGGGCAGTGGGCGGAGTAGGCCGGGGGCGCGGGCGCGGAGGAGGTCCCGGCGGCCCGGATCAGGAGCAGGAGGAGGAGGAGCGGCGGCGCCATTGGTGAGGCGGGGAGCGGGGATTGAGATCTCCTTCCCCTCTCCTCCCCTCCCCTCCCCGCTTGGTGTAGATGGAAGTGGAGAGG